TCGAATGGCATTTTCTTATGATGGAGTGTTACGGCAATGATCTGACTCTAATATGTGGGCTTAACGGATGGACTGTCTTATTGTGCCTATAATCATTACACCTGATTAACAAGTGATTGAGACAAAATTTAAATACTAGCATTTTGAACATATGATTAATGTGTTCATCGCTACAGTATCTAATTTAGGAACCAAAGAGGAACTTACCGCGTTTAACAAAAAGGTCTTGAAGCAGTGTGCAGGCGAGAGGCACCCGATCAGCAAGATTCTGCCGCTTATGAGGAAAACAGGTAGACGTGAAATTGTCTTAAGGACGCTACCAGGAATGAGGTCAACTGATCGATTATTAACAGGAATATATGACGAGTACCTGGAGAACCGGTGTGATACGGACTATCATGGTAACTGCAAGAACGTCTGGCACAACTGCGTCCAAAACGAGTCACGGATCTTCTGTCCAAAGACATGCGGCGACCCGATGTGTGGAAACCGTAAGTTGTTCATCATTCAACGTCCGTACTTTTAAACGATAGATGCGTTGCCATTCTGTAAAGACGGTAACACTGAAAATTCTAAAAAAACAATCATTAATACACGCTGAAAATGTCCGCTTATTAATATACGTCAGTATTCACTATTACCCAACAGAAGAAACATTATCAAATTCATGTGGTATGTTCCCCGATTGTGAGAAAAAGTAATATCGTTGATGCTTCGAACAAATTGATGTTACAATCATACAGTAACCATGTACAAAACATTCTTATAAATAGGTATCCACTGAAATGTCGCACGACGGAGTATTTAAGAAATGAACACAAACAAACAAGATATGCATGAATATAAATATATGCTAATTTTATTCACGCCTCATTTCATTTTTAGTGCGTTTCTATGGCAGTTTCAAGTACGACACGTTCAATTACCAAAGTAATTGCCAAAATTCGCAAGCGTACAGTTGCGAGCAGTTGCGACAACGAGGCGATTGTCTGTCGAATCCCGGCAGTATGGCCGAGATCTGCCCCGAATCGTGCGGGTATTGTCACAACGGTAAGCAACACAAGACGAGATTTTGAGTACAGAGCGATAATAACCCGCTTTTAGACATAGACTTTTTACCGTATATGCCGGAACAGCAGAAGATCATTATGTGGTTGACGTTTTTCGACGGGGGCGTTTATGAGGCGTACGCGAAATACATGTGGGAAAGGATCGAGGCAATTCATCAGAAAGCGATGTACCACAGGTGCTGAAGAACAGCAGCAAGCAAATCGTCAAGGTCGATACGGCAACAGAAGTAAAACAAGTGAAGGGTGGTGGCATTTCTTCGTAGCATCTACATTTTTGTACATAGTTTTGTAAGTAACAATAAACGCTGCACAACTTATGACACAGACGTAAAACACATGAGTTTATTCGCCAAGAACTTTAATCAGCAAAGGGGACACTTAAATTTATAAAAAACTACATAAGAAGCGTAGATCATGCAGACACAGTGACGCATGACAAGAGTCGTCTGATTAAAATGAACAACGACGTTCGAGCTTTGGCGTTTCGGCACATGGCACGTGCACGACTGTGGCTGGGTGTCCTTTCTTCGATGCATAGCATTTGACGACCAGACGAAGAACGAAAACGATGTGTGAAAAATCGATCAGCGCAGCTTAACCATTGAAATCACATCGCGAAGGCAGTGCTTTGTTGGAACAGGCGATCGTTGCCAATTCCCATCTAAAACCAAACACCACCGTTTAGAAAAAGTCACGATGCAACGACATGATCATCTGAAGACCAATGAATACGCAAAATGATATTCATAACGCGTCTGAATCTATGGCGTCACATAATTTCAGTAGACTGTTCAATTAAATGAATGATATAAGATGATGTGAAGGAAAGACTTCTAACGTAGAGGCTGCGTCCTTAAACTTCGATCAAGAAAATACATTCGATATAAATCAGTCGGTCGAGACCGATCCAAGACATATATTCGACCATTGCAATTGATAACTCACAGCCGTATACACTGTTTTAAAAAAAATCACCCATGACTAACTGCATCCTGAAAAATCAGCATCGCAGCACCAGTTACGTGAGAGCCTGCATCAAATCAGCTGATCAAGGAAGTGCGATGGAGATCAACAACCAAACGGATAAGCATCTTCACCTTTTAGTAGGCCCGAATGACCATTTCGGAAATACCACAAGAAGGTATTTTCAGAAACAATGGCTACTACCACGTTACCTAATTCGATGCAGAAATCATTTAAAAAAAACAACTTTCATCTTTTTCGTTCGAACCCATCTGCTTATGACGGTACGGAATACAAGCAGTATCAACTGCTAGTGCATCACTGCCAATGATACCCAACTACGCATCACAGGTACGGAATAGAACCAGCAGCAGAACCATGGCCACTTAAATATTCCCCGTGGCGTCTAGGAGCAAGAAGGAGTAACCGTAAGGCAGGGAAACTTAGACTGGTGGACCTACGCTAAGGCACTTTCTCATTCAATAATTGTAAGCATAAAATGACCTGAAATTGCAACAGTAATTTATCAGAGTTTTTTTATTATCAATGTCCCAAAGAGCGAAGATATAAACACAGAAGTGTGCCGGTGCCGTAGCGGTCAAATCGTACATAAAATAAGAGTAATAACAATAGGTTAGAATACTACGAAGCAAACGCGCAGTGATGTCGACACCTGAAAAGAATAGCATCCACCCGCAGAGGTTCAGAATTCCAGAGCCCTGGCGTTTGGTTGACGAGAGTCCAACTATGTCGAGTTGTTTCCTTGAAGCCCCATTAACTAACTTCTGCTCTTTCCCTCTGAGTAAGAATATATTCCAATTTCCGATTAAAAGCTCCCACTGGCGGTGTCTATCCCGTGAAGCCCCGTCTGATGTGCTCTAATGGCACTGCGCTGACTGCCTCTTGCGTTCAGGTGTAACGTTTCCGCTGCTGGCTGATAATTTTGTCATCTTCTTGTCGATCTTGGGTATGCATCGTTATGCTGTT